GTGCGTGCGTGCGTGCGTGCATCCGTGCGTGCGTGCGTGCGTGCGTGCATCCGTGCGTGCGTGCGTGCATGCTTGTGTGTGTGTGCGCGTCACCGATCACAACCATGCATCTAAACATCCCACATTAAAATAATTACCCGATCAACTCATTCATTTCCTCTCGCACGCAGGTCGCTCAGATGGCCAAGCAGCACAATACGACGCTGAAAATAGGCGGCGCCACCGTGCGCTCGTCCCCGCAGAAGCGCGGCCGCGACGCGTTCTCCGACGCGACGGCGGCGAAGCGGATGCGGGCGGCAGCGACGGTGATGCTGACGCCCCCTGGCAGCCGCGGCGGCTCGCGGCCGTCCTCACGCTCGTGTTCGGACAGCGAGGAGGGCGGCGGCAGCGGCAGCGACGGCCGCATGAAGGCGAGCCACAACGACCTGGAGCGGAGGCGGCGCAACGAGCTCAAGTGCAGCTTCTACTCGCTGCGCGACTGCGTGCCCGAACTCTGCCGGCAGGAGCGCACGCCTAAGGTCGCCATACTGAAGAAGGCGACGGAGTTTGCGCGCGAGCTGACGGCCGAGGCGGAGCGGCTCGCCGCCGAACGCGACCGCCAGGTGGCGTGCCGCGACGCGCTGCGGCGGCGCCTCGCCACGCTGCAGAAGCGCCATTTCGTCGAGATCGGCGTCGAGATCGGCGTCTAGATGGCGCCATATATCTCTCCCGGTGATGGGCTGCGGACGATGGAACGGGCGAACAGTTTGCGGCGCTTTGCAGCGCGTGCTAATGTAGCATCGTGTCTGTGAGGGGGCGCTAGTGTAGCATTTCGTCTGACTGGTAGCGTCGAATGTGTAAGGGGTGCTGGTGTAGCGGCACGTGTGTGTAGGGTGCGCTAGTGTAGCATCACGTCTGTGAGGGCGCGCTAGTGTAGCCCCGCGTGTGTGTTTGTGGGGGGGGGGGTGCTGGTGCAGCCGCAGCCGCGTTAGGTTCATTAGCCCGTGTAATCACTTGACGTATCCGAGTTCTTTCCAAGCAGTTACTGTTACCCGTGACGCCAGACAACTACGTTGACAAAAGTTGCATACATCTAGCTACCTCTCTTGTTTCTATATATATATAGTTGCGGTATACTTGTTGTATAACATATACGAGGTCCACGGCCATCCTGACATACCTTAACCTTTAGCTGTCTAGGTTTTTGTTATTGATTGTAATCTTGAGCGCGATTTATGTGGACATATATATATATATATATATCGCCGCGTGTGTCCCCGTCTAATATATATATATATATATATCGCCGCGTGTGTCCCCGTCTTGGTGACAACGAGAAACCACGTATATATGTGTATATGTGGTCGTCTTGGTGTCAAACAAATATATATATATATATATATCGCTGTCTATCGCAGAAAGTCAGCGCTACTGCCCGCGCCCGACAGACCGGTTGTCGGCGCTGCTAACGACCGTCGGCGGCGACGGCGGTGTGACGTCATCGCGGTGCCTGGATATCGGGTATCTGTCGGCGGGTATAGGTATGCGCCGATGTCTGCAGGCTCTCTCGCCCGTCACGATGCTACTGATGGTGATGATGATGAATATGATGATGGTGGTGGTGGTGATGCTATCATGAAATAGTTTTGTCCGTATCGATATCGCGGAAATCGCGTCGAGATTTTTGAAACCCGCGTTCTGTGCATGCGAATTTGCGTTTCCGAGTTGACGAATTACGTTTTTCGTTTCATTTTCGAGTCTCTCTCTTCCAAGCTGCGGTTGTCGTCGGTTATGCACGCGCATCTTAAGAGAGCACACGTATATATATATATGCGGCCTGCGTTCGTACGCGTTTTTGTACGTACGTTGTGTTTATTGTTCCCTGGGTCGAATCGACTGCGAAATTTTTCTTCTCATCCGCGACGTTATGGATTTAAAACGCGCGCGCGCCTGTTTCGCGCTCCAGTTGAGTTTTCGTAGCACAAAGTTACATTGCACACCCTCTCTACTCGTTGGTGAGGAATCGACGCCAATCACTGTTCTAATTCGTACTTAGTTTATATAAGTATAAAAAAGTGTTCTTTATGTGGCTTGTGATATATATAGCTATTGGAGAAGGTGTGCACGTTGCGCGCGTCTTTTCTGCAGTCGTTCGGGGCGAGAGAGGGACAGCGGCGGTACGTGTCTGTTCATCTCGGCTCTTCTCGCAACCCGTTCTCGTATCGCCGATCTCTCGCGACGGATGCTGCGTGCAGGGGCGTGCGGTGGTGGCGCGAATGCAAATGTGCAGTCTTCGATGACTCGTTATAATACATATCTGTGAGCGGCGGAGGAACGTTCGTTAGGGAGGGGGTGCGGTGGTGGTGGGGGGGGGAGAGGAGAGGTTCAGTTCAGTTAAGTCTGCTTCTTCTAATGGCGACGAGCTGCTTGTGAGGGCGCGATGTGCCGCGCACGAACCAAGACTCGTGGTTGCCGGAGCGAGAGCTGCGCGCTGTGTGATCCATCGCCGACAGATCGAGAAAGCCGGCAGGAAACCTTTCGGACAGGTTCCCCTGATTGCAGGTTCCTGCCGGCGGCGGCGGCGGCGGCGGCGGCCGAGTCTTGGCTCGTAGCGGAGGATAAACGCCGGCGTATAGAGCCGTACCTAGCGCTGCCTGCATAGCCGTGGGCGAGTCTAATGACGGAAGCCATGGCTACGTGGGTGGAGTGACACGTGCAGATGTAGACCGAGTGCATGGATGGCTCTAAAGCACGAAGCGCTTTGTACGGCGCGCCTGCAAGAACACCTCGTGATGGAGGCTGGCCATTTACCTTGAGAAGAGGGAAGGGACTCATACTGGCTAGATGCTACTGTTTGTACGCATACGTGTGTGTATATATATAAACCTATGCACGTGTGCGTGTGCGTGTGCGTGGTCGCTGTGACGTGCTGTGGTGCCGTGCAAGTGCGTAGCGTTTGCCGTGCGTGGCCGATCGCGTGCGTATGGTGTCTCGTGCCGTGCTGATGCTCGCACGAGTGTGCCGTGGTACACTTCTACTATGAGGCCAACACTATGCCTTGTCGCTTGCAGTGGGCTATCCGTTTTTGTGCGAATTTTTTTCTGTAAACCCTCTCCTAACCATATAACTCCTCTCCCTGACCGCGCTCCAGTCGTGGACCCTCCCCCCAAAGTATCGTCCCTTTCTTGGTGATCTTCTATTTCTCCTGTTGGCGCTTCGTCGTCGGCCGAGTTTATGAAAAATATCAATTAGTGATCAGTACTAAGCCAAAGTTATTTGCGGGCCTGTCACGTGTACGGTGCGTCGTGCCCTGTCCGTGCGTTCGCGTCGCGCGCGTATGTACCCATGCGTGATCGTATGTGCGCTGGCGCGGATCGACGAATGCGTCGACCATGCGCGCTGGTTGTTTGTGGGCGGTCGCCGGTGTAGATGAGGACGCGCCCCAGAGATGCGCTGGTGGCGTCATGCCCGAACGACTATTGCACGTGCGCTACAGCATAAGGTGTACTCGCTAGCGAGACGGGAGGCCCAGTACCGAGCCGATGCCAGCAGCGGACCCCCATCCGAAGCGACACGCGCAAGCAACAGCATGAAATCGAGACACAAAAGAAGACAGGCGAGACAGCGCGAGAACAGCCGACGAGCTGCGAAGACAGCGACGGACAGCGAGACAGACGAGAGAGAGGAGCACGAGGGAGACTGGACCCGGAGAAGAGACGGAGAGCAGTAGAGAGAGAGGACGAGAAGAGAAGAGAGATCGACCCACGAGGACAGAAGACCCGCTCGAGAGAGAGAGAGAGAGAGAGAGCAGTATGTTCATGGTAGACACCACCCCGCCGCTGGTGGTCGAGAGCTGTTAGCTGCCGGTGTACGGACTACCGCGACTCGAACCAATCATGACGACGTTGAGAGAAAGGAAGCAAATTATTTTCTTATACGCTGCAAATATTTTAGTGGTACGAGGCAAATATGCTATAATTATGATTTGTTTAGAAGAAATTGGATGCCAAAATTCTGTATGGGCGTCAGAGTGCTGCATGCGCGGCGATTTTGTAATTATGCGTTGTAATCTATATCTCGGTAGTTTTAGCTTCAATTGCCGTTTTGCGATGTTTGCGTAGTTCGAGATTGTATATACATTGTAGACACATTTGGCGTTGTTACACATTACACATTACACATTACAGCCGCCTTATTACGCCGTGCCGGTAAACAAGCGCGATTTTAGAAGGTGGAGTTTTTTTGTAATAGTTGACGCCTTCATTTCTGCGGATTCTATTGATTGTTTTCATTGGCCCGACGCGCGGTGTGAACAATTTTCCCTTAATCAAGCAATAGCGTAGCGCTTCCAAGCAGCTGCGGGTTGGTTCGTGCCTCGGTTGTCCGTGGTTACGAACTCCGTTTGATTTTCACACTGTTCTACACACTTGTGTAATCATTAGATGTGCTCAGTAGCGGCGTGTTGCCACTGTGAGCTCAATGAGGCAGGTTAGAATTTAAGGAATATTATTTTTATTTCCGTACTGAAGAGCAGGATGCATCTTTCCTTCATTCCAGTGTTTTATGTTTTTATATATAACACGTAAAACACGAAAAAAAAACTTTTACTTCAATCGCACAGAATTGGTGCGTAGGGTTTGTTTCATACGATTTTATAAAAGTGTTAATTTGAAATGCCGCTGGTACAGAATATTATTATGATGACTATTATTATTTTATTTGTACGCATTCTAAAATACAGGAATACATAACTTCAGAATTTGTTTGTATTGATTTTAAATACTGTTGTTTATGCTGTTGTTTGTGTGACCAACGGTTGCCTGCAATCTCTACGACTGCTGCAAGCTCTCGTGCACGCTACATATCTACGGCAAGCGCTAGTATCTCTACTCTGCCACGATTCTACAGGAACTGAAGTTATCAACATTAGAACCCCAATACAACACTTGCACTCCAACCTGCAGCGCAAAGCAAATCTTCGTCATCGAATTACCCGTCAAAGTATGACACATGTCATCACTCGTTCACATGCGTACTCGCCGACAAAATATGGAATTTTCTATTAACAAAAAAAATCACGTGTATATTTAACAATACGTCAATGTATCGCATCCAGACTCGTCACTTACTCCTTTACTCGTCACTTCGTCAAGAAATGATTACCAGGTCTATTTCAATGCTACCGTGAAATTCCTACGGCGTGTACGGTGTAAATCACAAGCTCTGTAAATGTAAAGCACACATCCGTCCGGACGACGGTGTAGCAAACGCGTGGTAATGCCTTTGTTTTTAACACGCTTTGCGCGTTTCGCGTAAAACCTGACATAGAACGCAACCGGTTTATAAACGCGCGCTCGTAAGTGGAACAGATCTCGCCGCGTGTAAACGAAGGAATTCTCTGCGAATGTTTAGGGGTTTCGTCCCCGCATCGCCCCCCTCCCGCTCTCCAAAATAGGCACGGAAACATCGCGACCATGGTATGCTCAGGTTAGTCGTTGTGTTTAATCGGAAGTGAGACCAGGTTTAGGGCGCAAACACGCGCCGCAGCATAATTTTTTCGACTTGTTTATAGTGCACGACAACAGTTTACACTGCATTACCGTTGTTTGACAATATTCTTACGAGCCTTGCTGGCTCCTATGTTCGTACATCACTTGAGCCAATCGCGCGTAACTGACGAGTTTCCCGCCCAAAACACACGCACGCCAGCACTCACTCATTCACGTACGAATGAACGCACGCACGAACGAACGCACGAGATACATGTCATACATAAACCCGCATACAAATACATACGCACACACATACACACCCACGCACGAGATACGTACACCCGCATACAACAAATACATACGCACACACATACGCGCGCGCACACACACACATTACTGCATGTATGCCCTCCTCCTCCGGCACCTATTCCGCCGATACTTGCCGCGCACGTGATGTTCGGTCTACACACGTCAGATTGATGCAATGCACGTACCCCGTCCTTGAACGCGCGGAGGCCCGCGGAGCAGTGTACTAGATCGGGCACTCGGCCGGATTTTTGGCGGGAAAATCCGTCAAGGACGTATATGCTCCTGGCGCCCTTTACGATTTCGACATCGCGTTTGGAGTGGTGCAACTATTTTGGTTGCCTCCCACCGTCCGCTCCGTGACCACGAAACGGCGGCATGCGCTGGTCAGCCGAGCCCGCCAAAACTCTGCCTACAGGCATCAATACAGCAGCAGCAGCCATCGTCGCAATTATTCTTTTCAATGAGAGAAAAATGAA